AGATTTCACATGCCCATCTAATGTGAGAGTCGCGTCAAAGGTGACGCCTAAATTCCTGATAGAGGATTTAACAGAGTGAGAGAGGACCGAGGGCTTTCACTATCTGAGATAGAAACCTATCAGGGACGCATACGAGGACTTCGGTTTTCCTCTCGTTGAGTTGGAGGAAATTTGCAGCCATCCAACGTTTGATCAAATCTAAGCAATCATTCAGACGAAGCTTAGATAAATCCTCGGGCATAAAAGAAACGTACAACTGAATATCATCAGCATAACAATAATAAGAAATATCAGAAAAATCAGGATTATTTTGAACTTTGAATCATCCAAAACTTCTCTAGCAAAGTCCAATATGGAGCAGTAGAGGTGACCTCCAATAATTCAGTTCAAAACATCTTCATTCTTGGTCTAATCTCAGTCTGAAAAACACATGTAAAAAAAACCATCTAGTTCCTATGATATCATTTTTTACAAAAAGTGCTGTAGGTGTAAAAAGTTAGCAAATAAAACATCATCTTACATTCTTACTTAAAGGACAATCACTTTACTTTAGCTCCATTTTTGTCTCCATCAGCTCCCCAGTGAAATATTTCACTTTTTTAATCTAACTCCTCCCTTTTTTTCCATTGGCTGGCCTCTAACTAACTCTGAAAGCCATACAGGTAGTCCACCTATAAAGAAGAATCTCTGACCTGCGATGAGAGCATCAGCAAAGATCCAATCTCCACAGGTTTCTGGAAGAGGATATCATCGACCGCCACCAGACTCGGCCGACAACCCCTGCAACACACGGCAAGGAGCAACGACATTTACAGCAGTTATTCTTTAACGTTTCTTTAACCCTTTAAAGTCACTCTTAGTCTAAATCTCTCACCCGTAGGAGCAGGCGTTGGCCCAGCCGAGCTCGTAAGCTTTCCTCATCAGAAAACCTCCAAATATCCTGTTAAAGATGTTCCTCTCCTGGTCAACGCAAACACAGAAACAGGTTTTTTACGTTTTCCAGCTGAAATAATTTAGGAAACCATGAAACTGGAAACCACAAAAGATCAATTTTCCCCATGTAAACGTAGCTGCTGGTATTTAGGAAAAAAAGAAACACAACTCAAGGAAATATCCAAGTAAAGAGTTCATATATATACAAGGTGTGATTACAAAAAGCTTTAGGAATCTCCCCTTCAAGACCGTCTCCTCTGGTCTACACAGCTTCCAGCATGAATCCTTAAAAGTCGTGTTCCTGAGTCCTGATCTTTGCACTTTACGCTCTTTATTTTCTCCACAAACTTCAAACTTCTGTTGATCAAAATAAGCCGTCTTTCATGTGGAGGAACATTGTGGAGTCGAGTCTCCGGCTATGACAGAGCAGCACATCGGGTGGACTCAGATTGTCTTTGGTACAAACAGCTCCAGACGCTCCAGTTAAATCTCAGGGAAGACTTAAAAGGCTGAATTCAAGTTAGAGTAGCACGAGAAGATGAACTGGCTTTTCAATCACACCTTGCATATATTCACAGCCTAAAATGAACCTCAGTGTAGAAATCCTCACCTGAGGATGGCAGATCTCCAGTCCTTTCAGTTTGGCATCTTCCATCCACACTGAGTTTGGGGGCAGAATTCTGCTGCGGAAACTGACCGTGCTGCAAAAGCAGAAACATCCACAGAGATTTAACAGAGTGCATCTTAATATATGAAGCAAATATAACATCCTCATAATATCCTGTGATGTTTCAGTCGTACTTGGTGTCCAGGGTGTTGAGGAAAAGGCCGTGAACGACCGTCCTCTCGTCTTGTGTGGGAGCGACCTTCAGCAGCGACGCAGTGCTCAGCTCCACGCGCCGGGATTTGTTAGCTGGAGGAGAGCGAGCGTAAAGATCAGCGAGCAAAGACTAAGCTCTTTATAAAAGCTGCGATTGTTTCATCGGCTCTCACCTTCGCCTTCCTGCAAGAGTCGTTCTTCCTCGGGTCCTTCAGGCGTCAGTGGATTTACAAACGCTGCCCTGAAAAGGGAAAAGAAGCAGAAACACAGAGTATTAAAGAAGTATGAGAGAAACACATCATGAGTTTACCGCGCCACTTTTAGGACTGAGAAGCAAAGCTCTGCAAAAGTAAATCTGCACAGGAAATGAGAAATAAAATGATTTCCGTGCACATAATTAGTCCTCGATGAAAACACTTTCTCGATGCAGAGAGCCAAAACAAACAAATGTAATGATGCAAAATCTCCTGAGGCAGCACACGAGCAGAGGACAGAATCCAGATTACAGTGCTGGGCTGGGCAGAGAGCCCCTCATCGTTATTAATCATAACTCTGAAATCTCTGTGAGGTAAGACACTCAGAGAGTCGATCAGATCTGTGTCACTAACAGCCTCTGCAACATTGAAGCTATAACGCTACTTTCAGGGTAACTCTGATCCTATTAACCCCCAAACTGTTTCGTAGGCAAATGAAATGACTTTTGGTTCTGTTGATCACAACTATGTCAGGGTCTAGAAATGGGATTCTCTAAACTCTTGTTTTTTCAAAATAAAAGCACTGGCACTGTACAGGATGCAGTAATACCTCTTGTTTCCTGGGTCTCGGGCCACCATGACGAATGTAGCATCCAGAACGGAGGCGTACGCTCCGTCACGGTACTGCAGGAGAGACAAACATCTGGTTTTAATTTACACCACCAGCAAGCATAAACAGGGTTAAGACTCGTCGTTGAATTACTCTCTTTGTATATATTGCATATACTCGAGTAAGCAGGTTAGGCGCGCCCACCTGTGACATGTGGATCTTGGCTTCAATGGACGACTTCCCCACCCACGTCACATGACCTGTGAACTTGATGTCGCAGTCGGGGTAGATGACGTGCTGCCTCATGTCTGACCAAGCACACACACAAAGATATTAGTGGTAAACAAACCAAAGTGGTTTATTGTACCCTGTACCTGAGAGAGTCTTACCGATTTTGTCCACCAGGGCGGTGACAATAGACAGAGGAGACCTCTTTAGTTCAGAGTTGTAGGTGTGAGAGTAAGAGATGAGGACTGAGGAAGAAAGAAGAGGAGACATTACAGTTAGGTCCATAAATATTTGGACAGAGAAAACCTTTTTCTAACTTTGATTCTCTACATTACCACAGTGAATTTGAAATGACCCACATGCAGACTTTCAGCTTTAATTCAGTGGGTTGAATCCCTTCAACTTAAATAACTCAAAACAAAACGTTAATTTCTAACACTTAGTTGAAAACCCTGTGCTGGTGATCACAGGCTGAAGCTCATGGACATCATCAGATGCTGGTTTCCTCCTGGTTGATGCTCTGCCAGGCCTTTACCTGTTGGTTTGTGGGCCTTTCTGTCCAAAGCTTAATCTTCATCAACTGAAATACATGATCAGCTGGGTTAAGATCAGGCGACTGACTGGTCCATTCAGGAGTGGGCTGCTTTAGCTATATGTTTGGGGTCATTGTCCATCTGTATTATGAAACGCCGCCCAATCGGTTTGACTGCGTTCAGCTGGGTTTGAGCAGACAGTTCATCTCTGAACACATCAGCTTTGATTCGGCCCCTTCTGTCCTGTCCAGCCCAATCTAGCCTCCCTATTCTTGAGGATTATGACCGGCTTTCGCTTTGCAGACTTTCACACCCGCTTCTCTTTATGGTAGATTTGGTAGACCTCCTGGAGAGTATCGTTCACTTTGATGGCTGGACGTCCAGGTCTTTTGGCGTTGCTGAGTTCAGCAGTGCTTTCTTCCTTTCACAGGATGTACCAAACTGTAGATTTTAACACTCCTGTAACAATTTCATCCAGTTTGAATGGGGATACCCTCAAATAAAAGCTGAGAGTCTACACTTCCTGTCCATATTTCAGCGCCCTAACTGTGTAATTAGTGCTTGAATGAGTGAAGTTCCTCATCATCTAATCTGCTGCGTACCTGCTAAACTGTCCAAGTCCTCCAGGATTCTGCCAAACCTGAAACGAGACAAAACAGTTAGAAGGTCAAAACTGAAGCACAGACGTACTGGACCACATTTACTCAGAGAGCAGGCTGCTGTGATGACTGCGCA